ATTAAATATACTAGTGCAGTGTGATTTAAACAAAGCCAGCAGTCATAGACGGCGGCGTTGACTCATGGGAGTTCACGAGCCCCGCTCAGTTCAGATCAGCCTTATTCAGCGGTTTCATGCACACCCACAGATATTTGGTGGCGTGTTATTCTGTGAAATGACAGCACTAATATAGAAGCCAGCCAAATTAGTGGCTGTGTCGCGAGATTGTTCACTGATTTCGTGGTGTTAAATTTCGTGAGAGATTATCCACGAATTTTGTGGAGTCATTTTGCGAGGTCAATAATAATATTTAATACTTCTTGATAATATTAGAAGTTTCATAGAGGCTAATTAAGAGGCTATTATCAATAATTGTGTATATTATTTCTCCAAAATAGAGAATTATTTAATATATATTGCACTAGTGATCTCAATATAATATTTACTAATTGCCAACCCACAACAGGGTAGGATATTACCATTGACTAGTTGAACTATTATATTATCGTTCATCCTAGTCCCATTATTACCATAGTCAGTTGTACTATATTCAACAACCTAACACCATTAATGAATGGTCCAGACCCTATTTTGGGTGTAATTTTTATCAACTCGAGTTGAGTTGTGTATATATAATAATTTACTTATGATCATTACACCTTTGAGTGATTAATTAGTGTCTCTACCATCCTAGGGTGATATAGAAGAGCTAACCTAAAGGTACTTCCAGTGACACTGGTTTATCACTCAAATCATTAGTGTGTATGATTGTATATATATAATGTGTATTAATTTTAAGTGCTAACCTCTAGTAGAGGTAGGATTATTGCCTAGTGAGTGCATTTTACCCTAGGCTACCATTAGAGCTTGTTCAGTATTATGAGCAGCCCAAGTACAAGTCCCACAAGGCTTCTCCAACTAGCCAGTATGGATAATGCAGGGAGAATGAAAAGAACCCTTGCAGGTCTTAAAAGCCACTTAACAAGACAGATCAAGAAATGTGAAGATTTGTCACAACAATCTCAAGTTGATTATGCTGACCTGGAAAGCTATTATCAAGCAGCTGCAGGTAAATTTGAGCAAATCAAATGCCAAATAGCAACATATGTGGCTGAACTTGCCAACACTAATTTATCAGAAACAGAAATAGATGACATTATGGTTGATCTTGCGAATTATGAAGATCACACTCAGGTCACGTTACAGCCTTATGTCAAATTAATTACCCAGAACAAGGCAACAACAACAGCAACAACAACAACAGTTGCATCTAATACGAGTCAAGCAGAAGCTCGACTCCCTCCAATTAATTTACCCACTTTCTCAGGAAAAGATGAGGAAGATTGGGACGAATTTTGGAACAAATTCGTTGACCTTGTAGACTCAAAATAATCTTTACCAAAGAGTAGTAAATTCTCTTATTTGCAAGGCCAATTATCAGGTGAGGCTAAAACAGTAGTATCCCATCTGAGATTAACTAATGACGGCTATGATCTGGCAGTAAAACTCCTCAAGGATAATTATGCTGATCCAGAAGTAAGAACATCACATTTAGTTCATGAGCTGTTGCATTTACCCCCACCGGAGGCTTCAGCTGATTCACTCCAAGTCTTCAAGCTGGAGATAGAATCATTGATCAATGCCCTCAGCCTGACAGCAGATACAAACGGGGCTGAGTGGGTCTTGAAAATAATTGTCCAGGAGAAAATACCTAGGGACATATTGAGACAAATGAGTGCTCATTACAATAAAAGCATCTTATCCATGAGTGAAATATCTGAAGGTTTAAAGTCAGTAGTTCATCAATTACGAACACATGACAAATTAAAACCACCAAGTAAACCCTCAGAAACCAATAATAGTAAACCACAGAGTACCAAAGGTACTCCAAATCAATCTAGACAATATAATTCAACACCAAAGTGGAACAGTAGCAGTGTGGGCGTATATGCAGTGGGACCCTCCTAGCCTATAGTTACTGTGTCATCCAAGAACGTGACACCAAAGGGTACTGGAAGCTATGGAACATGTTTGTTCTGCAATGAGAAACATTCAATGTACCACTGCCCTAATTTTCCTGATAGTGACGCCCGTGTTGAGCGACTCAAAGATTTGCAACATTGCACGAGGTGCCTCAGGAAACATAACATCAAGGACTGTGAGACCCAATTACACACCTGTAATAGGAGTAACAAAGGTCAGCACCATGCAGCATTGTGCAGAGACACCAAAACAACGTCTCAAACCCCAAGGTGGAAGATAGCATTCCCACCACTGTACAGTACTGCAAGGTGCAACAAACAAAGAGTGCCCAATCGGCAAAGTCTAAAGGTAATACGACTTTGCCTACTGCCCAAATTACCATCCAAAATAAGAGGGCCAAGGTCCATACTCGTGGGTTGTTTGACCAAGGATCCCAGAGAACATATGTCACTAAAAGGTTGGCAGATGAACTACAATTAAGGTCTGTAGCCCAGATGTCATTCAATATCTCAGGGTTTGTAACAGATGCAGGACCTCAAGTCTACCAGGTGGTACAACCATCAGTACGTTTAGGCAGGTACGTCTGTCGAGTACAAGCCATTGTGGTGGACAAAATACCAGTAGTCCTACAAGTTCAAGGTCTGAGAGCAACAGCCAAATTCCTGAGAAATAGAGGAATAAAATTTGCAGATAATATGAAGTCTGATCACCTCACCGACTTCGGTCTCCTTGTAGGGACAGACTATTGTCATCGATTCATCGGTAGCCCTATTAAATATCAGGGCATAACCATGTTAAACTCTGCAGGAGGTAAATTACTCTCAGGCCCAGTATCAAGCCTGAGGAGACCTATGGCTGCACATAAACAATACCAATAGAAATCTAAATTTGTCAGCTGATAATATTTCTCCAGTAGCATTATACTAAGGAGATTACAGCTGACTATAGTAACAGAGGTTGATGTTAGTAACTGGCATAACAGGTACGCCTTAACCCGCTCCACCACCTGCTCAGACCCTTAAAAGAGATGGTAATTTCGGAGTATTTAAATACCCCAAAGATCAACACCTCCCAAGAGCACTAGAGCAAGTGAGGGGTCATTTATACGTTTATTTCATCAAGTCCCTGTTAATATGGGAAGACACAGTGTCTATGCTTAAGGCACAACTCTCCTAAACACGAGAGTGAAGTATACAACTTTAGAACACTTTCCCACCAGGAGACTCGAACCATAGCCAGCACAGAAGCCTTTGAGTCTTCTGTGCTGGCTATGAAGCACAGAAGAGCTCTCTCTCTCTCTCTCTTGAGAGAGAGAGAGAGAGAGAGAGAGAGAGAGAGAGAGAGAGAGAGAGAGAGAGAGAGAGAGAGAGAGAGAGAGAGAGAGGAGCGGGAAATTAGAAGAGAGGAGACCTGGTTGCAGCCGGGTACTCCTCCCCCCCCCCTCCTCCGTTCCTACCTATCCTAATCCAGCAATAAACAAAAGATTAACAATGCCAGTCAACATCAACTTCCAGGCGTATGTCAAGATTTTTTTTTTTTTTTTTTTTTTTTTTTTTTTTTTTTTTTTTTTTTTTGAGATATATACAAGAGTTGTTACATTCTTGTACAGCCACTAGTACGCGTAGCGTTTCGGTCAAGTCCTTAATCCTATGGTCCCTGGAATACGATCCCCTGCCGCGAAGAATCGTTTTTTCATCCAAGTACACATTTTACTGTTGCGTTAAACAGAGGCTACAGTTAAGGAATTGCGCCCAGTAAATCCTCCCCGGCCAGGATACGAACCCATGACATAGCGCTCGTGGAACGCCAGGCGAGTGTCTTACCACTACACCACGGAGACTGCAAATGATACACAAAAGATGATACACAAAACTCTACGGTACTCAACCCAAGTGCTGTTGGAGCCTGGCACATGGTCATGTTACACATCTACCACAGAATATATATGATGACCTACACAGTTTGCCTCAAGAGCTAGCTGCTGTGATACTATAACACTCCCCATCTCAGGAAGGGTCGTCATGCAGAGCCATGTGATCAGTAGCCTATATGGGTGTAAATTCTGGATGAATTACGAGGATATCTTCGATAACTTCGCTTCACTCTCTCAGAAAAATCTCGAGAACGCATGCACGGAAGGACCCATGTCAACCTTGTGTGAAAGACTTGGGGCCAGATTCACGAAGCGGTTACGCAAGTACTTACGAACGTGAACATCTTTTCTCAGTCTTTGGTGGCTTTGTTTACAATTATTAGTCAGTTAATGAGCTCCGAAGCACCAGGAGGCTGTTTATAACAATAACAACAGTTGATTGGGAAGTTTTTATGCTTGTAAATAGTTTAATAATTGTAAACAAAGCCGCCAAAGATAGAGAAAAGATGTACACGTTCGTAAGTACTTGCGTAACAGCTTTCTGAATCTGGCCCCTGCTCATGAACGCGTGTCTTATCGACACAAGTTACGCTTTACCTATTTAGCTACAGCTATGTGGGTCTTAAGAGGTTCTTGGCCTTCGTGTTCTTGACCTTCTTGGTCCTCGTATCTCTTGACCGACGCTCCTACGCCCATCAGGATATCAAGTCCAAGAACACTTGCAACCTATATTCTGCAACTGACACACGTGAAACAGATATCTGAGACTCAATTTCCAGTAACAGCAGACAGTGAAAAATACATCAACTGCTTCCTTATGGCACACCTTCTTAATGACGTTAAAAACAAGATAAATGAAGCATTTCACACTGATAATCCCCGGGGTTTGTTGTGGTGATGGGCTCAAGGCCTATCAACTGCACTAGGGTTATTAAGACCTCCGCAATTGCTTACTGACCCATCCAGCAAGTAACATTAATTTCGACATTTATTATATACGTTAATCCTGCTCTTTGTCTTTTTTTCTCCAGACTCTCATGTCCAGTCCCGGTCCTGGCCCTATGAGTTGGTGCTACACCAGGTGCTCAGTGTCCTCACAGCACAAGCCTCTCCGCTCGTTATTCCCAGGAAAGTCGACGGAAAACCACACCCTTCAATCCCACTAGACACAGACAGCTTCAGAGTCGCTTGTGGCGTCGCTCACCACAGCTTCAGAGTCGCTTGGGGCGTCGCTCACCACAGCTTCATAGTCACTTTTGGCGTTGCTCACCACAGCTTCACAGTCGCTTGAGGCGTCGCTCACCACAGCTTCAGTGTTGCTTATGGCGTCGCTCACCACAGCTTCATAGTCACTTTTGGCATTGCTCACCACAGATTCACAGTCGCTTGAGGCATCGCTCACCACAGCTTCTGTGTTGCTTGAGGTGTCGCTCACCACAGCTTCTGTGTTGCTTGAGGTGTCGCTCACCACAGCTTCACAGTCGCTTAAGGCGTCGCTCACCACAGCTTCAGTGTTGCTTGTAGCGTCGCTCACCACAGCTTCAGAGTTGCTTGAGGCGTCGCTCACCACAGCTTCAGTGTTGCTTGAGGCGTCGCTCACCACAGCTTCATAGTCACTTGTGGCGTCGCTGTAACACGGGTTTTGGGTTCCTCTCTCTACTTCACTTTCCTTCTACTCCCTCTACCCATATTCTTACTTTTTATTCTCTACCAAGGGACTCCAAAACTTTTACCAAAGCCAACTCCACGCCACGTGGTCCTAAGACGATTGACCGACTTAGGATTCTACACCCAGTATGACGTGACCTAAGCTCTGAGCAAAACCCTAGAGTCACCTCTGCTGCCACCACCAGACCAGTAACACAGAGCAATGATCGAGGTCTGGATCGATCACGCTAATTAATCAACCTTGGGGCTTGATCCCCACTAGTAGTTTATAACCTCGGAAACTTGAGTGTGGAATTAATTACACGGGAATGATTCGATGTTAGAATCGGCGCCCAATCCAACTCTACCTCGTGTGGACCACGTGACCAGGACAAGTTTACACATAAAACACATGGAAATAATGAAATGCAAAATATTAACAAATTTAATTTATTAAAAGAAAACTAAAACAAAATCTAAATATGTTCACTCCCTATCACTTTAACACTCCCTACTTGACCTGAGTGGCAAATGAGACTATTTCTATACATAACCATAGCAACTATACCTTGGGCGACCAGCTCTAGATGTTGGCTGGTCTTGGGGAGAGGTAAGATGTTTGACCTCTCCCAGCTGCTCCCGTATTCACACTGATCTCTCCCTTGTCTCGTCTCCCCCAGACAGAACATTGTATCCTTCCGCCTAGTCAAAGTTTTACCAAGTTACTAGCCAGGTTTAAGTTATAACAATTAAACTCTGTTGTACTTAATTGATCCAGACTGGTTGAATTATTTTACTGAAATAAATTACACAAGCCTCTAACGGCAGAGCTGTTCCCGATCACAAAAATGGTTATTAAAACTTTGAGAAATACTAGACATGTCAACCCTGCTGACCTATGACCGCCGGTCACTCCACCTTAAAAGTTAGATCTGATTCGTGACGTCACTGATGGTGACTTAAACAAAATAATTAGAATACTCTTGATATTGTACCCAGTACTATTATACAATACAATTTCAATGCAAAATGAATAAAGGCTAATTTTCTCTAAATTACTGAATACTATAGGATGATTCATTATACGCAGCTATGAACAAAGCGTCGGTTATTTCCACCGCGAATTCCCCTGGGGTCAGGTCACCATGCGGCTCAGCTTCCCATTCTCTTTTGTCGATAAACCACTCTGGATAATTCTTACAACAGCCTAGTTTGTTACATCGCTCACCACAGCTTCACAGTTGCTTGAGGCGTCGCTCGCCACAGCTTCAGTGTTGCTTGTAGCGTCGCTCACCACAGCTTCAGAGTTGCTTGAGGCGTCGCTCACCATAGCTTCTGTGTTGCTTGAGGTGTCGCTCACCACAGCTTCTGTGTTGCTTGAGGTGTCGCTCACCACAGCTTCACAGTCGCTTAAGGTATCGCTCACCACAGCTTCACAGTTGCTTGAGGCGTCGCTCACCACAGCTTCAGAGTCGTTTGTGGCGTGGCTCACCACAGCTTCAGAGTCGCTTGAGGCGTCGCTCACCACAGCTTCAGAGTCGCTTGTGGCGTCGCTCACCACAGCTTCACAGTTGCTTGTGGCGTGGCTCACCACAGCTTCAGAGTCGCTTGTGGCGTGGCTCACTTCAGCTTCACAGTCGCTTGTGGCGTCGCTCACCACAGCTTCACAGTTGCTTGTGGCGTCGCTCACCACAGCTTCACAGTCGCTTGTGGCGTGGCTCACCACAGCTTCGGGTTGTAGCGCGGGCGTCTGGCGAGTGAGAAAGACAACGCCTCCCGGGTCCTCTCTTCTGTGGCTCGAGGAGATGAACTTCTAATTATTCATTATAACTCTTCATTTGTAACAAAATTCATTTTATGAGAGACCCCGAGTACAAAGAAAACGGGGGAGTGGAGAAGAAAATATCACTGTTGAATAATGGAGTATATATGTGCATTCATGCGCCATGTGCGTATTCATTCACATATTAAATGATCGAATAAAATAACTAAGTTTGTTTAGCAACCCCTACGTTGCTGCCCATCTGTGGACTATCACGAAAGCAGTTACGCAAGCACTTACGAACCTGTACATCTTTCCTCAATCTTTGGCGGCTGTGTTTACAATTATTAAACAGTTAATGAGCTCCGAAGCACCAGGAGGCTGTTTATAACAATAACAACAGTTGATTGGGAAGATGTTATGCTTGTAAACAGTTTAATAATTGTAAACAAAGCCGCCAAAGATAGAGAAAAGATGTAGACGTTCGTAAGTACTTGCGTAACAGCTTTCTGAATCTGGCCCCTGCTCATGAACGCGCGTCTTATCGACACAAGTTACGCTTTACCTATTTAGCTACAGCTATGTGGGTCTTAAGAGGTTCTTGGCCTTCGTGTTCTTGACCTTCTTGGTCCTCGCATCTCTTGAGCGACGCTCCTACGCCCATCAGGATATCCAGTCCAAGAACACTTGCAACCTTTATTCTGCAACTGACACACGTGAAACAGATATCTGAGACTCAATTTCCAGTAACAGCAGACAGTGAAAAATACATCAACTGCTTCCTTATAGCACACCTTCTTAATGACGTTAAAAGCAAGATAAATGAAGCATTTCACACTGATAATCCCCAGGGTTTGTTGTGGTGATGGGCTCAAGGCCTATCAACTGCACTAGGGTTATTAAGACCACCGCAATTGCTTACTGACCCATCCAGCAAGTATCATTAATTTCGACATTTATTATATACGTTAATCCTGCTCTTTGTCTTTTTTTCTCCAGACTCTCATGTCCAGTCCCGGTCCTGGCCCTATGAGTTGGTGCTACACCAGGTGCTCAGTGTCCTCACAGCACAAGCCTCTCCGCTCGTTATTCCCAGGAATGTCGACGGAAAACCACACCCTTCAATCCCACTAGACACAGACAGCTTCAGAGTCGCTTGTGGCGTCGCTCACCACAGCTTCATAGTCACTTTTGGCGTTGCTCACCACAGCTTCACAGTCGCTTGAGGCGTCGCTCACCACAGCTTCAGTGTTGCTTGTGGCGTCGCTCACCACAGCTTCATAGTCACTTTTGGCATTGCTCACCACAGCTTTTGTGTTGCTTGAGGTGTCGCTCACCACAGCTTCACAGTCGCTTGAGGTGTCGCTCACCACAGCTTCTGTGTTGCTTGAGGTGTCGCTCACCACAGCTTCACAGTTGCTTGAGGTGTCGCTCACCACAGCTTCTGTGTTGCTTGAGGTGTCGCTCACCACAGCTTCACAGTTGCTTGAGGCGTCGCTCACCACAGCTTCACAGTTGCTTGAGGCGTCGCTCACCACAGCTTCAGTGTTGCTTGAGGCGTCGCTCACCACAGCTTCATAGTCACTTGTGGCGTCGCTCACCACAGCTTCACAGTTGCTTGAGGCGTCGCTCACCACAGCTTCAGTGTTGCTTGAGGCGTCGCTCACCACAGCTTCAGTGTTGCTTGAGGCGTCGCTCACCACAGCTTCAGTGTTGCTTGAGGCGTCGCTCACCACAGCTTCAGTGTTGCTTGTGGCGTCGCTCACCACAGCTTCAGAGTCGCTTGTGGCGTGGCTCACCACAGCTTCAGAGTCGCTTGAGGCGTCGCTCACCACAGCTTCAGAGTCGTTTGTGGCGTGGCTCACCACAGCTTCAGAGTCGCTTGAGGCGTCGCTCACCACAGCTTCAGAGTCGCTTGTGGCGTCGCTCACCACAGCTTCACAGTTGCTTGTGGCGTGGCTCACCACAGCTTCAGAGTCGCTTGTGGCGTGGCTCACCACAGCTTTACAGTCGCTTGTGGCGTCGCTCACCACAGCTTCACAGTTGCTTGTGGCGTCGCTCACCACAGCTTCACAGTCGCTTGTGGCGTGGCTCACCACAGCTTCGGGTTGTAGCGCGGGCGTCTGGCGAGTGAGAAAGACAACGCCTCCCGGGTCCTCTCTTCTGTGGCTCGAGGAGATGAACTTCTAATTATTCATTATAACTCTCCATTTGTAACAAAATTCATTTTATGAGAGACCCCGAGTACAAAGAAAACGGGGGAGTGGAGAAGAAAATATCACTGTTGAATAATGGAGTATATATGTGCATTCATGCGCCATGTGCGTTTTCATTCACATATTAAATGATCGAATAAAATAACTAAGTTTGTTTAGCAACCCCTACGTTGCTGCCCATCTGTGGACTATCACGAAAGCAGTTACGCAAGCACTTACGAACCTGTACATCTTTCCTCAATCTTTGGCGGCTGTGTTTACAATTATTAAACAGTTAATGAGCTCCGAAGCACCAGGAGGCTGTTTATAACAATAACAACAGTTGAATGGGAAGTTTTCATGCTTGTAAACTCTTTAATAAATGTAACCAAAGCCGTCAATGATTGAGGAAAGATGTAGACGTTCGTAAGTACTTGCGTAAGTGTTTTCGTGAATCTGGCCCGAGGAGGATGAGTTCCAGCTCTTGGTCATCGCCTTGTAAATAATGGCGTCGCCTGTCAAATGACTCCAGACCCTAATAACCGTATATAGATCACCTCACACACCTGCCCGCTTCCCCCCCCCCCCCCCCCGACACACACACACACGTGCCTGTGATGGTGTATGGGTGTGGACCTCCGTCAGGTGGGGGCAGCTGGCAACTGTGTGGGGGTCGGGAGGTGGTGGTGGACCGTCCCGGCGCGGCTCAGTCACGCGGCCGCCACGGTCTCGTCAACACCTCGCTAGGTGACGCTCGCCAACCGGTCCATTCGCGCTCCTTGTGTATACCGTCTTGGTGGTACACTCTTACAGTGCATACAAGTAAATTCCCACTTTCTATTTCATTCGCTTGTTATTGCCGACGTGTTGTTGAACAGACTCTTCGCTCTCGTGTTACTGCTCGAGATATTACTCTTAAAACGTTATTAGTATTTTGTATCTTTTTTTTTCTATAGTTCTCCATTTGATCTCTGGTTAAAGTGAGGCGTTGGTCTTTTACAAATGAAAATTAAACATAAATAATGAACGCAACTGTGATTAAGAAACACATGCAAGCATAAACATCAACCAGTCCTCATGCAATGTGCAACATCTCTATTTCCACCCAAGGGGTTACTTGTGTACGAATCCTTATACAATGCACAAGTCAGCATTGGAAATTGTACGTATTTCTTGACAGAACACTTCCGCAGGAAATGGGACATCAATAGGTTCAGGGTTTGTTGACTCTTGTACCTATTTTATGGCTAACCTTTCATGCATGCTGATTTCTTATGTTTTTTTTCGTTGAGGAAGAAAATTAAACAAAAATTACAATTCAGAGTACATTTAACATTCTTAATTCGTTAAAGAACTCCTTAGCATCCTCGGAGGCGAAATCTATTACACCTCCTTAAATGTGTAAAATTAACTTTAAAGCTAATTTGTCCACATTATTCTTAAGTAAGAATGAACATAAGAAATATAAAATATTCGTGCAAGAATCCCTGTTGTGACCCTTGCAGTGATATATATATTGTATAGCTCCAGCTTTATTAATAATTATTTATTAATAACTATTATCGATAATGTTTGTTCATTGATGCATTGCTCAATGATAGATACACTTGATTCAAAGCTTATGATATATATCTTGTATTATGTTCAATGAAAAGTTAATCAGCAATATTCACCTAACCTAAATCACCCGATTATTCATTCATACTGCCTAATCGAAGTTATTATTTAATAGCAGTCGAAATTTTCTAAAATTTCAATTCAAGTATGGTAATAATATCGTACTGTATTTAAAAATATTCTCACGAAGCTTTACCAACTAGGCCAGGGAGAGAGAGAGAGAGAGAGGTGTAATTTATACATATACATCTCTATTAGCTATATATGGACGTTTATACACTACTATTAGAATTATATTTAAATATATATACCTATATTTGCTTTATGTATAAAATGAGCAAATTGTTGACAAATATATATCTTCACAAGATGTTCATCCATTTACTTAGTCTAAGACCGGACCACGAAAAAGATAAAAGAATGACTGAAAGAGAGACACAGAGTCAGACAGGCACAAAGAGAGAGAGAGAGAGAGACTGACAGAGAAACACATACTCAAGAGGTCTAGTGTAGCTGGGTAAACCGGGTATACCACCTACTATAATATATATATATATATATATATATATATATATATATATATATATATATGAAAGGAGAGTAGTATACCACCTCAAGTTGGAATGGAGACTCATAAACTCTGACAAGAAAAAGTATTGGAGATTTTGAAGATCCTATATATATATATATATATATATATATATATATATATATATATATATATATATATATATATATATATATATATATATATATATATATATAATCTCGATAGAGATCTTTTGTTTATTCCAATAATAGTTAAGACATGAATTACTGACTCAGTTATGTTAGATTACGTTAAGTTAGGTTTGATCAAATTTATAAGTTAGTTTTAACTCTAATAAATGTAAAATTATATATAATGTAATGGAAAGCTTAATCACCCTGTACAAATTTTTGTAAATATAATATTTAAGAAAAATTCGGGTTGTTAGTCAACTTTGCCTAGTAGGTACAACATTATATATATGCATACACACATTTATCAATCTTCACTGATAAATATATATACCTGATCTGCTCTAGATGAGGATTATTTTGTCATTAGAAATACGTCAAGCGATATTTTGATAAAAGGTGTGTTCCTGGTGCGGTGTGGGTGAAGTGAGGGGAGGGGTGGGTGGTGTAAGCTGAGGGCATTCAGTGATCAAGCAACGAGTCTAATGCCCTTGTTACAGTCCGGGTTCCTGCTTACACACAACCCTACTGCTGCTTCTGCTGCTGCTTTAGTTGGCTCCTGTTGCTACTGGAGCTGGGGCCTGCTTCTGCATCAGTAGTTGCACTCTGCTGCTTGAGTGTGGTCTTGCTGTTGCATCAGTTGGTCTCATCTTTTGATTCTGCTTCAATTGAGCCCCCCCCCCCTCCTCCCCCTTTTGCTGCTGCTGCTTTCTGGTCTTCCTGCTGCACCTGCTTGAGCTGCTCTTGTTTATGTCTGATCGTGCTGTTATCAGTAGGGGATTGCAGAATCAACCTCCAGTTACTGCCCAACCTGTCCTCTTAAAAAGAACGTCGCTTTTGGCCGTTTGCCCGTATGGCCGAATTTGAACGTAATTTTAAAATAAAAAAAATATGAAAATAAATTTGGGATTTTTTTTTCAACAACAGTAAGTTAAGGGTCCTCTGATAGGTTAGGTGGGCAGGAAATTCTCATAAAGTTTCAAAACGTTATGGAAAACGTTAATTTAAAGTGTCCTCTTATAACCTCTGCGCGTACGCCGGACGACTCAAATAGAAAACGGAACAGAACGTCACTTTTGTGAGTCGATTTCATTTCAAATTACGCCCAAATTTAGCCATATCGCGCATACGAGCCAAAAGTGACGTTATTTTTAAGAGGACGGGTTGTACTGCCAGTAATGATCCAGCTTGTGTTGGAGTCCCGTGTGTACTTCACAAGTCCTGTAATGAGTCTATCATATCACAGAATTATTTACAGCTTCTTGAAAACTCCTATTACGTTTGTTGACCAGACCACACACTAGTAAATGTAGGGACGACGACGTTTCACAATCAACTTGAGAATGGTCCAGGACGGACCGAAACGTTGTCGTCCCTTCACTTTCTAGTGTGTGGTCTGGTCAACATACTTCAGCCACGTTATTGTGACTCGTCGCCTCTTATTACGTTTCTCTTCCTCAAGTGGAATTACAGAAGAGCACAGACAGCAGACCTAATGTTCCGTAACCATCCTCTCTGCTTTATAGAGATTTTCTTTAAAAAATGATTACGGTCTTTACTGTCTATTGACTGGAAGTGGGTTTCCTGTCTATTGACTGGAAGTGGGTTTCCTATCTATTGAGTGGAAGTGGGCTTCCTGTCTACTGACTGGAAGTGGGTTTCCTGTCTACAGACTGGAAGTGGGCTACCTGCTGATTGGAAGTGGACTTCCTGTCTATTGATTAGACGTGGGCATCCTGTCTATTGACTGAAAGTCGGCTTCCTTCTCATTTTTATAGGAAGTGGCTCCTGTTTATTTTTGTCAGGAAGTGAGCTTCCTGTCTATTTTGACATGAAGTAAGCTTCCTGTCCATTTTCACTAGAATTTGATTTCCTGTCTATTATGACTAGAAGTGGGTTTCCTGTTATAATGACTAGAAGTGGGTTTACTGTCTATTATGACTAGAAGTGGGTTTCCTGTTATTATGACTAGAAGTGGGTTTCCTGTTATTATGACTAGAAGTGGGTTTACTGTCTATTATGACTAGAAGTGGGTTTCCTGTCTATTATGACCAGAAGACGGTTTCCTGTCTATTATGACTAGAAGTGGGTTTCCTGTCTATTATGACCAGAAGTGGGGTTCCTGTCTATTATGACTAGAAGTGGGTTTCCTGTCTATTATGACTAGAAGTGGTTTCCTGTCTATTATGACTAGAAGTGGGTTTCCTGTCTATTATGACTAGAAGTGGGTTTCCTGTCTATTATGACTAGAAGTGGGTTTCCTGTCTATTATGACTAGAAGTGGGTTTCCTGTCTATTATGACTAGAAGTGGGTTTCCTGTCTATTATGACAATAAGTGGGTTTCCTGTCTATTATGACAAGAAGTGGGTTTCCTGTCTATTATGACCAGAAGTGGGTTTCCTGTCTATTATGACTAGAAGTGGGTTTCCTGTCTATTATGACCAGAAGTGCGTTTTCTGTCTATTATGACAAGAAGTGGGTTTCCTGTCTATTATGACCAGAAGTGGGTTTCCTGTCTATCATGACTAGAAGTGGGTTTAATGTCTATTATGACTAGAAGTGGGTTTTCTGTCTATTATGACCAGAAGTGGGTTTCCTGTCTATCATGACTAGAAGTGGGTTTAATGTCT